TCCCTCTCTAACCATTTTTTTTTTCTTCCCCTCTCCATGGTCTTCTGTTAAGTTTCTCAGGATCCACATAGGAGTGAAAACATATGGAATCTGTCCTTCTCTGTATGACTTATTTCACTTAGCATAACACTCTCCAGTTCCATCCACATTGCTACAAAAGGCCAGATTTTTTAAATTTCTAACATGAGTTCGAAAAAACTCTCCCCCAAAACTTTAACCTGTATATGTACATAACCTATATATATACATAACCATTATATATACGCAAATGTATGTATAAAGATGATCAGATGTAGGCAAATGCATAGAATGTGTGGTAAAATAACCAAAGAAATCCATAAAAGGCCAACTGTTACCGATCTGGGTGTTAAAGAGCATGGTTTCTTTTTCCCCATGCTCATCTAAATTTTCAGCTTTTCTGCAATAGCACATATTTCTTTTCTAATTATAAAAGATCTATACACTTTTGAAAGACTAACACCCTATACACTAATGTGGAATGTGAGCTAAAATGAGAATGGATAGAGCTGTTCAGGAATATCTAGAAACCTTTATGCATTAAGGTTGTTATTAACTAATGGAGTAATCAATTTTCAGTTGTCTCTTAAAAATTTTTACGTGTGTCAAAATGAAATGGAAGAGCTTCAAAGAGGTAAACTTTTCACAGTGATAGTCATAGCAGGTGGTGTTAGTGCGAGCAGATTGCCATTGAAATCAACATCTTTAGCACCTAGCACGGTGCTTTGCACACAAGAACAATCAGGTGTTCGGCTCGATTTTTGTTTCTGTCTTCGTAAACAAGTAGATGAGAGACAGTAACTTAATGGCTTTGCTCTTGGATAAACTGGTGAAAACATCTGGATACAGTAAAACCTCGGATTGCGAGTAATTTGTTCTGTGAGTGTTCCTCAAGACGAGCAAACGTTTCTAATAAATTTTAAATTGATAAACGAGCGATGACTTGTAGTACAAGTAAGTAGTACATGACGCTGAGGGTCACATGATCACAACTGAGCCAGTGGTTCTTCTCTCTCTCTCTTTCTGTCTGTCTGTGGGATTGTGGATGGTCATCTCCCATGCTCGGATGCTCGGTCTCAGGCCACGGTGTTTGGCAGAAATCAGTGATCTTTCAGAATGTTGGAAGGTGCCCACAACGGGCACTACTGTGTTTTTGGTCACTTCAAAGCACCTATGGACAGTCCTTTGTTTTTCCAGACAAGAGTGAGCTTAGGAATGCTTTGCTTCCTTCTAGGTCAGGCTGCCTGCAGATAGAGACCCTTCCCTCTGCTGCCTTATTGCCAGTTACATGAAATACAGTCTATGGCAAGAGTCTATTAATACTGTTCTGTAGCAGTGATTCTGTTAGTGATAGTGAAAGTGGTCTTACACAATAACCCTCCTCTCTCTTGCCTCCCACACACCAGACACGAAGGCTTTCAAAGGTAAGTGCAGGTTAATTTGTTTATTTTTCTTTCTGGTTTGTATTTTCTTTATTATTTTGCATTATATTACAGTATTGTAATCATTTTTGTATGAATATTTTTGGATTATGGAACGAATCATCTGAGTTTCCATTCTTTTTTAAAAACATTTTTTGATGTTTTTATTTATTTTTGAGAGAGACAGACAGAGCATGAGTGGGGAAGAGGCAGAGAAAGAGGGAGACACAGAATCCAAAGCAAGCTCCAGGCTCTGAGCTGCCAGCACAGAGCTCAAAATCATGAACCACAAGATCATGACCTGAGCTGAAGTTGGATGCTCAACTGACTGAGCCACCCAGGTGCCTGAGAGTTTCCATTATTTCTTATGGGGAAATTTCTTTGATATACAAGTGCTTCAGACTATAAGCATGTTTCTGGAATGAGTTATGCTCTCAAACCAAGGTTTTGTTGTATTTCAGTCATTGAAGGAGAGTAGCAAGCTAAGTAAGATTTATCTTATTGTTTTAGTCACGTGCACTAATTCCCCACTTACTGTGTACCAGCCCCAGTTTGAAGCACTTTAAAAATGTGCTTATTAGGAAAATGTGCTTAGAAGAAAGTGCACATGACAGCTCTGAGTTTACTTTCCTTACTGGGTGGATGTTACAGAAGCGATGCTGGGTCACGTGGCTCGTGCTTGGTCTCACAAGTCGTAAGTGGGATTCAAGCCCCCGGCCTGCCGGGAGCTCATTTCCAGCCACCACATGGGGCTGCCCCTCGACTGGTCAGATGCCTTGCCTGCGTAATGCACACACTGTATGCTGAGTGTCCTACCGCGGGGTCAGCGGTATCCCAGGTAGAGTCTTAATCTGGAGCAAAGCCAGCATCCACCCCCCTCCACCAAAGTCCGTCTCCGCCAAAGACCCTGTCCTAGAAGGAGGGGTTAGGGGCGCCTGGGTGGCGCAGTCGGTTAAGCGTCCGACTTCAGCCAGGTCACGATCTTGCGGTCCGTGAGTTCGAGCCCCGCGTCAGGCTCAGGCTCAGAGCCTGGAGCCTGTTTCCGATTCTGTGTCTCCCTCTCTCTCTGCCCCTCCCCCGTTCGTGCTCTGTCTCTCTCTGTCCCAAAAATAAATAAACGTTGAAAAAAAAATTTAAAAAAAAAAAAAAAAAAAAAAAAAAAAAAAAAAAAAAAAAAGAAGGAGGGGTTAGACAGACGTGGGAAAGGACAGCTGACAGTTTGTAATCAAGGAAAGAAAAAGAACACAAAGCAGAATGAGCCACCCCTAGAAAAGCAAAGCCCCCTCTGTGGAACCGTTGAACACGGAAGCAAACACCCACAGGAGGCAGAGCCCCAGACCGAGGATACTCCTTGCGATGCCTGGGTTGAAACGGCAACACAGGTG